GGTGATGCTGTTCCTCTGGGCTTGGCTGCAGGGCCGGGAGGGAACGCATAGCGGGGTGGGGAAGAATTGAGCCGGAGTCGCCGCTGTCATAGCCACCTGGGCCTTTCCCGGAGGCCAAGATCTTGACGGACTGAAAGGGTGTCCGAGGGGATTCCGGAGATCGAGAAAACAGAGGAGGCGCCAGCTCCGGAAGCCTTCTAAGTTGCCCCCGACTCCGTACGAGTTTGGGCCGCGGGATACACTGTCCTTCTCGTCCCTGGCTCCAGTAGGTGTCTGGGACCTTGGGTCCCGCAGCTGGCTTTCTCGCCCTCTCGCCTGGACCCGCGTGGGCCCACTGCCGCAAAGCGTTCCGGAGGCAACTGCGGTTTGAGCCCCCTTGGCCTGGCTGCCTGAGTTTGCCCGCCCCTACGAGGGGTGGGAGCGAATTTCGGGACGCTGGCCGGCCTGTCTGAAATTTGGGGTGGGGACGGGGTGCTATGGCTTGGGCTTTCCAGGTGTGCTTTTCAAGAGGTTGTGGCAAACTGTGGGCGTTCGAATTTTGCACGTGCCAGCGCGTTTTTGTGTTGAGTGGCCGGTGGTTCCTTGGGCCAGGGCCTGCCCATCCCCCGCCACATCCTTAACCCGTGCAGGCGACGCGGAAGAGTTGACTCCGGGACGCAACGGGCACAGCCGGCGCGGAAGGTTTCGGCCTCAGCCCACGCGGTGGCGCTGTCGGGAGAGGACGCGGGGGCTCGGGGCCGGGACCCGGGCAGTGACCCGGGCTGTGACCCGGGCTCCAGGGTGTTGGGACTTTGACGCCAAGCCGAGGCCTCGGGGCTCTTCGTAGCCACCTTGGGCTTGAGATCCTCTGCCTCTCTCCGTGTTTCCCTAAGGAAAACGCAGCCGGTCGGGAGCGCCACCCGGGGCTCCAACTCCCGCCGCTCCGAGGTGGGGGCGGAGACGCAGCGGCGGCTCCTTAGGCGCTTCCTTTTTTTTCCCCCCTTGCCTTGTTGCCCGGCTTACAGTCGATTTCTGTAAGTGAACTAGATGAGTAGGGCGGTCATTCTCTCGCAGCGCGGTTGCAGAAGGACACCCACCTATTACGCTCTGGGGTCTGCAAAAGAATGAAGGGCGCCCCGGGGGGCGTTGCCCAGAGTGCCAAGGTGGTGCTCGAGGCCGCAGGAACCCCCGCCTTCCCAGGCCCCCAGGCCCATGGCCGCGGAAGGGACACCCATATCTCCCACCAACGACACCCCCAGCTCTGAAACCTATCTTCTTGCTTCTTCCCCCGGGTCAGGCAGTGCCAACACCCGACGCCTGTCTCCTACCCCGGGGACCCCAGAGCAGAAAGCTCCCTGTCCTCGCCGGAGGCAGCTCCTGGGCAGACCTTGGCACCACCCTTCCCGCCCACTCGGCCCCTGCATGGCCCGCCTCGCTAGCCCCCGACCCTCGGGCCTCTGGGGTGCTGGGCTCACCGCCTAGCTCCGACTCGTTGCCCACCGTCCTTCCCCATCAGTCGTCCCCCTGAGGCGCATCTCTCTGCTCCGGCCGTAGGGGCTAGTTCGTTTGGAGGACCTCCACCGTCCCTACCACCGGCTGCCGACGGCTTCCTCCCCGCTCCGCCCCCGCCCAGGCCCCCAGAGCCGCCGGGGAAGCCTGGAGTCATTTATCTTTGCCTTGCGCGGGTTGGGATTTGTCCGGCTCTGATGCCAACGAGGAAAGCGTGCGGATAACGAAGTAAGTGTCCCCCGCCTTGCGCTCGGGTCAGTCCCCAGACGCCCGGAGCACTGTGGGAAAGGGCTCAAGCCCACCCGGGGCGAACGGTCCTCCAAGGCGCGTCCCCCCCCACCTCGCCTCCCCCGGGGTATTCTGGCCCCCGAGCTCTTGTTCTCTTGGCGCATCCGATTTCCAGTCTAAGCCCCTCGCGGTTATGCCGTCCGAGAAAGTGTTGGTCGCCAACTCCCCACGGACAGTCCACGGCGGAAATTGGCTTCAGAGCTGGCGTGGGCTTCGTTTGAAATAAATTATTCCCTCCCGCCCTCCTCCCGCCCCCAGCAGGGCAAGCTCCGGGGGAAGAGGCAGGCCCGCTGGGGTTCCTCGAAGCCGTCGAAAGCTTTTGACGCGGGCGGTTCCCAAAGTTTTCCCTGCTTGTTCCAGGGTGGAGGGAAAACGCGGCACAATATTCCAGGGCTCTTTAAGAGGCAGGGTCTCTCTGCTGGGATGGCCGAACTTGAAAGCCTTGGAGCTTGGGGAAGGATGCCCGGCCCTCAGAGTTTCGGGTGGCACAGGCGAGAGCTGAAGTCCCGCGCCCGGCACCCTGCACCCTGCACCCGGGCGCCCAGGCCTACGCCGTCCCGAGCGGGCCTCAGGGAAGGAAGGTTGACCAGGGTCGAAAGTAAGCAAAACAAAAACTTAATGTTGACAAAGAGAAATCAAGAAACGTCATTAAAAAAAAGTGCAGGCCATAGAAGAAGAAGGCCTCACAGAAAAGGAGAGAAGATGGAAATAAAAACCATACACCTTTAAGACCAGCATATAAAGATCTGTCGATTTTTAAAAATAACAAATCTGTGTTGGTGAAAGACAGGCAGCCTTTTACTAAATGACATAAGAAAAACTTGGGGGGTGGGTAAAGAAAAGGGGAAAACTCTGAGCAGATTCCCGACGAAAACGTCAGTTAGAAGGAAACTGAGGGATAAAAATGTCCCCCACATGTGAACTCTGTGTTTTGAGCACGGAAGCAGACTATCTCCTAATGCACAAAATGGGTATTAAAGTATTTTTAAAAATCGAGCGTAATTAAAACAATTCTTTCGTGTGATTTTGTTTTAAAAATGTTTGGAAATAAACCATTTGAGGGATACAAAACGAAACCAAACAAATATTTTTGAATCATCATCAAATTTATTTACTGTTTTAGTAGAAAATCCGAGCGAAAGGTAAAAATATTATTTAAAATATATCTTATTGTCGAAATTAAACCTGCTGGAAATAATCGCTTCAGTTGAAATAAGGTCAATACAAAAATTGTGCAGTAAAAAGCATATGTAATTTGAAACAGAAAAGGCCTTTATTGGGGACAAAACTGCAGAGGAAAAAAACCCACACCGGACATACATCACAAAACTTCCTAGAACTCTCCTTTAAATCGAAATAAATTTGTAAAATGTGTTATGAAATACAACTCTACAAACATCCAAAATACATTTCTGGTCATAATTAATCGTATTTGACATTTTCCTCTTTCTTTAATGCAAATTTAAATAATTCAGGCTTTTCCTTAACATGATAGATTTTTTTTCACTATCAGAAATGGACAAGAGGAAACTCCAATAAAGAGAAAAGCAATGAATCTAAAAGGATGAAGAATCTGAAAACAAACTAGCCACAATGTACATTTAATTGTACTTAATTGTATATTTCATTTAAATAGCCCGTCTCAGAGGTTTAATAATTTAGAATCAATAGTTCCCTTCAAAACATAATAAAATATTTACACTTTATAAAATATTAAATGATTAACAATACAGCCGTGTTGTTTATAAGAGTGTAACTGAAGTCCTTCAAATCATGCTGTTGACACAAGCCTGTGAGGTTAGAGATCCTTAGCAAAATGTAAATGAAGCTCTTCAGACAGTGGTGTTTATAAAATAGCTCATTAATGACTTAGGATTGAATCGCTCCAACCATTCGCATCATCAGATATAATAATAGTGACGAATCAGACAGGAAAGATCCTGGCTAAACCATTTGCATTTTTTTCCAGAAGTACTGAACTCCTAATATCACCAATTCTTCTAAGTTCCTGGACATTGATCCGGAGGAGGATTCGCAGTTCAACATCAAGGTAAGGAAGGAAACAAGATTGTTATCGTTGTTGAGATATTAGTAAGAAATACGTCTTTCCTCATGCTGTAAACGGGCTAAGTTTGACAGTAGTAGTTGGCTTTTGCAACACCCCCTTCCCATTTCGACCTATTACGATTGAAAAAAAGTTTGTTGCTCAAACTTACAGTTTGTTTCTTTGCAGCCCCAAACCTTTTAACCACCACCACGGGTTGATTTACTAGAGCTACTTTGCTCTTACCGAGTCCAACCCGTTTGACTGGGGGTGGGGTGCAGGGGGAGGATGGGGCTTGGTGAAGAAAACCAGGGAAAGGCAAACGCTGCCTAAAGTTCCCAGGGTGGCTCCCCTAAGATTTACTATCCTGCTTGTTTCTTTTCTCGGCTGGGATTCGACCGACTCCCGGGTCGCCTGGGGCTTCTTTGGAACTTGGTGGGCGGCGCCTGGGTGCTGGGTTCTTGGTGATCTGGGCGCCGACTCTTAGGCCGGGGGCAGGTTTCCTTTCTGGGACCCTTTCTCTTCCAGAGGTTCTGAAGCCTCTCAGCCTGTGCGCCTGCCGCCCACCAGGGAGATGCGGCGAGTCGAAGGCGGCCTTGTCCCGGGCACAATCGGCGGACTCAGCTTTCCACAGTCTGTGCACCCAGCTGGGATTTCCAGAATTACTCCCGAGCGCGTTTCCCGAAACCGAACTGAGTTTGGCCCTCTGGCGCCGCCGTACAGTCGACGCTTCTTAAGGGGGATCGGTGGCTCTGGCGGCGAGAAGTGGGAGAGCCCTCGGGGCTCAGGGGATTAGGTGGGAGAGTCGGCGTGTGCGGGAGGGACAGGAGGCGCAAGCAGTTGAGGGGGCTTCTCTGGCCTCAGGGCCGGCGAGGATGCGTCCACATTTTCTCACCTAAGGTCCTAGCGGCTAAGGTCCGCCGACGCCCTGAGCATCTCGCGGGGGCTGCGGCCCCTGCCCACGTGCTTTTCCTTAAGGAGGCACCGCGCCCAAGCGGAATCGCAGGGACAATAGCGCGGCCGGAGGCCGGCCTGCTTGGCTAGTAGCCGCGCCACCTTAAATGAGCACCGCAGCCGGAGTCGGGCAGCAGCCGGCCGCGGCCGCGGGAGTCGGCAAAAGTTTGTGACTCTGTTACGCCTTCGCGGGACCTGCTGGGGACGCTCCTGTGCGGCCTCCCCCAGGGCGGGGAGGCCGAGTCCTCACGGCACAGCTCTGCTCGCTCCCGCAGCCCTGGGCTCGAGCAGCGCGGGGTCCCCAAGAACCCTAGTCCCGTAGCCCGAGGACAGGCAGACCCACCGCCCTCGCCGCCACCGCGTCACGGGCTCCCAGCGGCAGGGTCTGCGCCGCTCGCGATGTCGCCGGAGCGGCGAGCGCTCCAGGGATGCCATCCAGGGATGCACCCGGCTCTGCGCCCACCACGCAACCCCCATTCCTGTGCCACCCACAGCCCGGCGGGCGGTGGCCGTGCTCCTGCCATTCGGGACACCCGGGCTATTGTTCCGGACTCGCGGCCGTGCCAGCTGTGAAGGAGAAGCGGCCTTCCCTGCGCGCGCCGCGGCACGGAGCGCGGCGGGCCGGGACGCTGGGCTCGGCGCTGAGGGGGAGCTAGTAGGCACCGGGAAAAGTTGCTCGGAGGGGCGGAGGCGGTGGGTGGTGGGCGGAGGCGGTGGGTGGGGGAGGCGATCGCCCTCCCATCTCCAAAGTCGAAAGTACTCCGCGCAGTTAACAGAGCTGGGAGCCGAGGCAGCCGCGGTAGCCTCTTGCGCGTTGGTTTGAGCCTCCGCCGGCAGACGCGGCACCCAGCGACTGGCGTGTCGCCGCCGCCTCCGCGCCGGGACCAGTGCGCCTACGGGCTGAGCTAGGCGGCCGCGCCCTGGACCCGCCACAAGGAGGAGGACCAGACCCTGGGCCCAGGTGTCCGGCTGCGCCCAGACGCACCCACCCGCTGGCCGCGGCCACCGCCTCGCGCCGCACTCGGTCCTCTGCCATCGGTCCTTCACTGCCTCCTGCGCGAGGTCCTCGTCACCCCGCTCTTACCGCCGACTCTCCCCTTCCTCCTCCTCCCTCCTCCTTGCCTCCCACTCGCCCCTAGCTTGTCCCTCTGCCTCCTCCGAAGCCCCGCCGCCGTAGGGTCGCCTTGCTCTCAGCGATTGATTGATTGATGTTTAATTTCCTGCCAGGCGGGGCCCCCCTCCCCCCGCAACCTCCCCAACCCTCCTCCCCGCCCCCCACTCCCCTCTTTTCTTGCGGTGGACCAGTCTGGCTTGGGTTTAGATCCATCCCCCTCACCCCCATCCCGAAATAACCCAGAGACTTCCCCTACCCCCACCCCAAATTATTATTTTGAAGGCGCTAGATCTGGGGACGGAAAGGGGGAGGGGGAGAAATCGGAAACCGAGGACAACCCAAAAGGACTCACTTTGCCTGATGACTCAACGCAACTAATAATCATCTCCCTCTCAGTGTGTCTTTCTCTGCGGCTTGTCAGTGAGTCCGGCTCTGGCTGCTGGCAGAGGCGGCCGAGAGGGGAGAGGCTGGAGGTGACAGCTTGGGCGGCCGCCGCGTTTCCTCCCGCGCGCGGTCCCGGGTCCCTGCGCCTTCTCCGCTCTTGGTATCATCGGTCCCGCCGCTCTGGCCGCGCCTCCTTGCGAGCTAGCGGCTCTTCGAACCGGCAGCCCCGGCCCGCAGCCGCCGCTGCTGCCTTTGGGTTCTCAGCCCCTTCTCTCCAGAACGGGTCTCCTTCCCAAAGGTGTGAAAAGGCTCTTTCAGCCTCCTTCTCTTTCCCCCCCCTCCACCGTCCCCTCCCCCGCTCGCTCGGGTGTCCCTTTGGAGGAGTCCTTTCCCTCTCCTCCTCCTCCCCCTCCTCCCTCCCCCCATCATCATCATAACAACCATCTCCGCACCAGAAGAAGACACCCTGACCCAGGACCTTAAACGTTAGGACCTGGGGAAGAGGGAAGGGGAAGGAGTAAAGAGAAAGGAAGAAGACTAGGAGAACACTGCAAAACCAAGCACCAGAAACTTTCCACCCTGGATTCTCTACTTTTGCTCCATGGACAGAGCCCCAGCCAGCCAAGTTTCAGACAGACCGTGAGCAGTAAGTACGAAGGGCGAGGGCTCCCGCGCCGCGCTCGGGAGTTCGGGGAAGCCCGGGGCCGGCGAAGTTCCCTCCCTGGAGTTCTCGGCCTCTGGGACCTCGAAGTCGGGGAATGCAAGCGGAACCCTCGCTCGCAGCCCTCCTGCTCCGGGTCTTGTCCCTCTTCCTTCCTTTCATCTCCCCTCTGCCACCCCCACCTTGTCTCCTTGACCAGTGGCGCTGAGGCTGCTCGCACGGCGAGACCGCCCAAGAGGATTCCCAGCACACAGTACGGTGCTGGGGTCCTGCTTCTTGCGGGTGTTAGTGACAGCGCGAGCGCCGTTTCATCAGGTGTTTTCCCTCCTTCCCCGCCCCCCATCCCCCAATCCAGGGGTGTCTAGACCTGCGGCTTCCGTGAGGAGCGCACTGCCAACCTAGCGACCCAGAGGAAAACTTTCTGGAGCGAAGTTAAAATTGGGGAGGATGAAGACTGCTCCTGCACTAAGAATTCAAATGCTTTTTGCTTTTGTGTTTTATGCTGAAGATCTTTTAAAAAAGCATTGGGGATCAGATGAAGATAAGAACGCTGCAGAATAATTGTAGCGCCCGCTTTTGTGGTGGAGGTTATTTTGATAAATACCTCTAAGTGTTTTCAGATGCTTATTAATGTGGAATTAGGATTGATTTTATGCAAAGTGTGTGTTTATCTCAGGACTTGCTCCGTGTAGGTAAAAAGCGGGAATTTAAGGGGTTCTTTGCCCGGCCTTTGGCTCTCTTGCCTGGCCATTCACAGCGCATTTACCGGGTGGTTAATTTGGTTATGGACTTGCTCACAACCCCACGCCCCCCACTCCCTTCCCAGGTGAGTGGAACGTCTTTTTCTGAAGTTCCTTTCTTCCACAACCATGACCCTGGGATGGGCTAAGCTGTTGTACCCAGGAACGGTTTATGCCAACCCCGTCCCAATGAATGGACCACTTTTAGGCGCCCCTGGGTGCCAACCCAGGCCGCGACCCCTAGGGCTGACTTCTGGGGAGCTGCGGCTGGGCAGAGTCGCCGAACCTTCCTGGGGGCAGCCTAGTGTAAGGTTGGGACCCGATTCCCGGCTCGGGCCCCTCGGGCAGCGTGGGAGGAAGTTTGTGTGGCTGTGGTGCTGCGCTCTGCCACTGGCCTGAACGTCTATCACGTGTGTGAGCGGTTTTCCCTCTTTTTTCTCCCTCCCCCTTTCCTCCCCCCACCCCCTCCCTAGGTCCCTGTGCGTTTTATTGCGACCTGCCGGTGGGAACTTTGTCTCCGAGTCGGAGCAGCATGGAGCGGCGGAGCGAGAGCCCGTGTCTGCGGGACAGCCCCGACCGGCGGAGCGGCAGCCCGGATGTCAAGGGGCCTCCCCCGGTGAAGGTGGCCCGGCTGGAGCAGAACGGCAGCCCCATGGGAGCCCGCGGGAGGCCCAACGGCGCCGTGGCCAAGGCCGTGGGAGGTAACAGCCCCGAGCAGGGAGGCGCGCAGCCCGAGGCCCAGTGATAATGGCCCGGGTGTCAGGGTTCAGGTTGATTAGGCGCTGTCGCGGTGTAGGATTACAGGAAGTGAATTCCAGGTTGCCAAATAATGCCCCCGTCGCCTCTCATCTGCAACTGGTAGCTTCATCTCGAGTTAAAACAAGAAAGTGGTTTTACCCAGAGGGTGGCATTTTTTGGGCATTTTGCCACTGTGTGCTGAGGTGTTGGCAGGTTTATGTCACAGCCAGCTAACTGTTTCTAGATTTTCCTAGAGAGCTTTTTAGTGATTTAACTCTTTTGCCTTGCCTCAGAGTGTCTGTTGTAGGGTTGATGGTTAGGTGTGTTCGCTTTTAGGGAATAAAATAGTCGTTAATACTCAAGCGAGTACAGGAACAAGGGCAGTTGATGTTACTTTTTAGTTAGGACAGTGCTTCAAAGACAGATGAGTGACAACTGGGAATATTTCTGGCCAGGTGAAATATGGGAAATAAAGAATCACCATGAATTCATCAGGCCCTTACAAGCTTAAATGCTGCTGCTGGCTATAAAGTTTAGTTGTATGCATTTGTAACTTTGTTATAAATTATAGGACAACAGCTAAAAATAGCAAAGTAGCCTTGTTAACTATATGCTGTTTTACCTCCCAAGAATTTATTAGTAATTTTACTTAAAGAAAACCTTTTGTAGTTTTTACTACTTAAGCAACTACTTTCTTTTAAAGTGGTCAGGAAAAGCAATCATATAAAATAAAGATATAGAATAAATTTAAACACTGAAATATTTTGAAGTTTATAAGCCATTTGCTTAGTTGTCTTTTACATGTAAAATACACAATTTTACATGGCGTGCAGGTTTTCTGTGTGTTTGGGATAAATTAGTAGTTTAATATTTTTTGCTTCTGACTTTTTTCTCTAAAATTTCAAAAGTAGCCCATTTAATTTAATTCTTTATGTTAACCTGTCTTAAATGATATAAAACCTTGGCAAACCTTAATGATAAGTTCCCACCCTCTTGTTATAAGTGTCTATTGTGTGTATTTCAAAGTAGATACCTACTTACCACTAAAAATGTTCACTACCCTTTAAAGAGTTAAACACGTATGTTTTATAAAATCATATATTTTTTCTTTTTACTTATTTTGCTATTTCTATTTACTTATGGTAGGCATGGTTTGTCTCAGTCCTTCATATTAATCATTTCACTTGAGAATAATTCATCCTTTCAATGTTGTAAATTAAAAAAAATTCGATGATAGATTCTGGCTTATCTCCCCTTTTTGTTACTTGAAAATATACTTTATTGAAGCAAAAGAAAAAACTTAACAGTTCTGTGACACACATTTTAAAAGTGAGGCTTGTTAATTTGTTGTCCCAATACTGGAGCAAATAATGTCAGACTTTTTGTATAACCATTTAGTATATGCATATGAGAAAGAAGAATACATAGAGAGTATGATGGTACCCATTATGAGATATGCTAAGTGCTAAAAATGTTTGTTTGAAAAAGTTTTGGAAATCCTTGGAGGCAGTGTGTTTCAAAGTCGTCTTTGTGGACAGAAAAGGTTTGGACTTAAAATTTTGATATCTTTCTGACAATATAAAAAAATTCGCTAAATTGAAAGGAGTCTCTAAACATTTCAGAATGTAATCAGTAAGAATTGTGCTTCCCTAAACAATTTTTTTTTCCCTTCTTCTATGTCATGTTGAACTATGAAGGAAATTGCCTCATTCTGTTGACTAGGGATACCTTTGGTTTTTGGTTGCTTTTCAAATTTTCTGAAACTATAGTTCACATTTGAGCCCTTATATATTTGCTATAAACTAAAATTGTTATCTTGGTGAAGAATAATAGATTTGTTTCAACCAGCTGCCTTGGACACTTTCTCTTAATTAACTGTATTTAATAATAGCAGAGGTCTTATTAGCTGCTTCCCAAATTGAAAATAAAGATGACATTATTTTGGCTTAATACATATCATTTATAATACTTGATAGTGAAGTGGTTGAAATAGTGTATGTTTAGTGGAATTTTAATTTTTTTAAAAAGAAAGCTTTTACTCTGTATGGTATAACAGATTGTAAAGAGATCAATTTAGACAACTTTGGAGTATAATAACTTAGAAGATAAGATTTTGATAGTACAGAGCTTTCTAATTGAATGGTAACAATTACTTTACGAGTTTAAGTTTATATAATTTCCAAATGTACATTAAGATATTAATAATTGCTTTGTAACTTTTAACCATATATATAGTTTGGAGCAAAGCCAATCCTTTTAAAAACTGCACATTCTAAATTTTAAAAAAGTTTAAAATTAATTTCTACTTAAAAGATTTTTGTAATTAAAGGTTTTTTTGAACATAGAGTAAATATAAAGATTATATTTCTACCATTCTATGTTCTTTTGTTTAAAATTTCTTTATAAAGCAATATAGTAATCATAGATAACTACACAAGTATTTATAGCTCTGTATCATTTATTTATTACCATTTTCAGATATATTGCAGTCTTGTCAATAGTGTAAAGACAGATACAATAAAATTTGTCTTGAAAATGTAGCTAAAAATTTGGGAGTACATATTTGTTAACTTTTAGTGTTCCTCTTTCTTAAATGCTGTTCTTTTAAAAATAAGCGACATCAAGTTAATTGGTTGTCCAATCAAATAGCAATTTATCTTACTGCTTTTGATAAGCAGTGAGGTAAATATATTTTAAATATATTTATGAATGCATTGGTTGCAATAGTAAATTCTACTGCTGTTACTCTACTTATTTAAGAAGAGGGAATTTGCTGTGTTTTCGGTGAGAACTAAGTATTCATAAAAAGGGGGGCATTATTTTAGTGTCTGAATTTAAATAGTAGAAGTGGTAGATACACTGTCACAGTCTTTAAGGTTGTGTTTTATTTAACAGGGGACTTAAAAGTGTGTTGTTTACAATGTGGTTAGTCTTAGAAGACTGTATTAGAAACTAGATCAGTTTTGCTTTGTCTTTGCAACACTTTCTAGGATTTTTTTTGCTCTTATCTGAGCGGTGTGTTTTAAAGCATATATGTAATAAAATATAAGGGTTCAGATGTATATGCCAGTCAGCTTTCATAGAAGGTCCTTAGGAAAAAAAGGCTAATATCTCTTTAAAAAACATAGGAAGGCTGGGAGAGAGTTTAGAGCTAGCAAGAGCACCATGGTGTTGACAGCTTTATATCCCTGCTGGGTAACATTCACTTACTAGAATTGGCGTCCCCTCTCAGCTAGTAATTCACTCCATAAGGATTTTGAAAAAGGATGATTAATGGTGGGGAAATTTATATTTGTGAAATTGTTGATTAAAACTTACAGATCTATTTCAAGTTTAAGGAAAAGAAGAGATTATTAAGGATGATGAACATTAAGAGTCAGATGATCCTTTTTACCACCATTAGCTTAAGCACCTAAAATGTTCTGCTGTGTGGAATGCTTCAGCCACGCAACTTACAGCATAAAATGAAAGTGATGCCAATCAAGTTTCCAGAGGAAGCAAGGCATTCTGCTTTTCTCCTGGACTGCTGAAAGGTGCTGGCCAGTTGTGCTTTAATGGCAAGAAATTATTGTGCTTCATTCATTGTTAACACAAGCATTTTCGTTTTTTAATGTTTGGCTTAAAGAAGAACTTTCAGACAGCTTTATTTAAACTGAATGAACAGTGCCTGAATATACCAGATGGTGTATTTGCTGATAGGAGGCATTAAACATCAGAAATCTTTTTGATATTTTTCATTTTCCTACGAATTTTTATGATTTTTTTGATGTTAAATGTTCTAGATTTTAGGGAAAAATATTTAAATATTGGAAATACCTTTTAGAGAGATTTGCTTTTTTTTTTAAATATTGCTTATTCTTGAAAAATAATTTGTTTTATAAATAACAATTTAATTTTGTTGGCGTACTCTCTGTCGAAGTTGTAACTAGACTACCCAAAGTAGACCTATTTGTGCTACCAGGCAGCCCTTTCAAGAACATAACTGTCTTGTTGCAAGGGGAGAAAAATCATTATGCAGTACACACTGATGTATTCAAATAGGGAAGCAAATGTGATCAAGATGGTTAGTCAGGGCCTCATTTCAAGCTGAACATTGTCTACAACAACAGTTAGTTTAATTGTCTACATGTGGAACATTTCCTTTCAGATGAAAAGAAATGCAGTTCGGGTCAGGTGTAGTCACCATATCAGCAACAGTAGAGAGACGTTTAACTTTTTGAAAGGAGTACAGATATGAAAGTATAGATAGGTATATATTGAGATGTATAAAATACTTAGAAATTTAGAAATATATTGTAAACATGGGTAAAATGGAGAAAGCTCCATTTCCAAGGATGAATATCACAATACTTGTAGGAAGGACTCATTACTTCAAAAGAGAAAAGATTGCATTTCTCCCTTCCACCCACTTTTTTTTCTTTTCTTTCCTTTCTTTCTTTCTCTCTCTCTCTCTTTTTAAAGGTTTTAAGATCTTTTAAATAGAATGAACTTAGGCTTTGGGGTCATCCAGCAATCTAACATGTCCTCTGTAGTTTTGCTGAGGTAGAAAAATAACTCTTCTCTAAAGTGTTTTTGGTTCTTGGCCTGTTATTAAAATAAAGATATACTTGGTTAAAAAAATATATGCAATGGAACATACACATTAAATAGAACATAGGGTATCCACCCCTCGAAGTCCTGAGCATAATTTGATGTTTCAAGTAATTTTGGAAGACTTAGGTTTGTTCCATCAGCAGAAACCCACTGACCATTGTATATTCAAGATCATCTGTAGTGCAGTGTGTGTATGTGCATGTGTGTGTGTGTGTGTGTGTGTGTGTGTGTGTGTGTGTATGACATAGATGTCTCTTAAGTCATCTGATTTTTAACCCGTGCAGAAAATAACCAATATCATCCTTTCCCAGAGGGTTGTAACCAGCAAAGTCTGTACATATGAGATATCCTGTGTGAATTGTTCTTTTGT